CGAGGATCCGGCTTTTGATAAAAGATTTTACCCCCATCTGTCAAATCAAGCAATACATTTAGCACTGTAGCCTTCAAAACAGACACGATAAGGAAAACTTGGACTCAACTACAGCCCATTAAATCGCCTGGTCCGGACGCCATACTTGCAAATGTAGTGAATGAATTTTCAGACCAACTGGTCTCTCTGTTATCCAAGATCTTAAAAACTTTGATGGACGCCGGAGCTCTGCCTACCGACGGGAAGAAAACAAATATAAACCCATATATAAAGGCGGCGAAAAAACAGCCCCAAATAGTCTCAGACCAATGAGTCTCATAAGCGTCTGTTGCAAACAGATGAAAAAGGTAATACAAACGGAGTTGAGACGCCATCTTAAAGAGAACAAATTGCTCAGTTGGCATTACCATGGATTAAGAAGGGGTCGATCCTGACTTACCAACCTGCCAGTATCCGTGGAGAACTGGATGAAGTCAGCCAAAATAGGTTTATCAGTCGACGTCGTGTACATTGATTTCAAAAAGGCCTTTGCTAGTTTTCCACACAGACGACTTATTTAAACTACATCAAATGGGCTTGAGTGCGAATCTACTAAAATAGTTAGCCGATTTTCTTACGGGCAGATCTCACCATGTGCGTATCGGTGACGCTAAATCGGAATGGGCATCGGTTCGCAGTGGCATTCTCAGGGAGCCTTATGGGTTGAATTCTGTTCTTAATATATGCGAACGACTGCCTGGACTGTTCAAACTGCGTGCGCGTAATGTTTGCCGATGATCTCAAACTGTGGAAAATCAATAGAGAAGCCAGAAGATTCGCTACAGTTACAAAACAACCTGGATCGCTTGCAACAGTGGTGTGATTAGTTATGTCTTAACCTCAACCCTAACAAATGCCAACTTATTCGATTACGATATATCAACACGAGGCCGTTAAGAATTGAATCTCACTACTTTATAGGAGGTCACCAACTCAAACCCATCAACGAATTAAGAGACCTCGGTGTGTGGATGACGCAAAATCTCAAACCATCGTTTCAATGCGCCAAGGTATCAAAGAAGGCCCTGAGTATCCTAGGCACGATTAGAAGATCCTCCCTCAGTTCTGACGACGAACTTTTCGGCCGAGTATTTGGAACATTTGTACGGCCAAGGTTAGAATATTGCGTTCAGGCGTGGTGTCCCTGGACGAAATAAGACTACAACCCATTAGAGAACTTAGAGAGAAAAGCAACCAAGCTGGTCGGCGGATTGTGTTGCTTACCTTATGAGAGACGCCTGGAAAAGTTAAAAATATTTTCTCTCTCTTATAGATAATACACAGGGGATATGATCATGGTCTTTAGAAGCGTCAGAAGGCTAGACTGTGCCTTTCAATTTTACGATTTCTTCGAGCTGGCGAAAATGAAGGAATCTTCGAGGTATCCAATACAAATTGAAGATAAAATATACCAAACTTGAAGTGCGGGTCACATTCTTCTCCTACCGGCTGGTTCAAGGATGGAACAAGTTGTCGAACTCCGCTGTCTTAGCGGAAGACGTTGAGACCTTCAAAAAAGCTAGATAAATTTATGCTTAATGGTCAAATAATTACTCGACATCAATGACTGGCATAAGTATGATGTACATATGTGTATGCTTTTCATCTGTTTATCTGTAAAAAGGTTTTTCCAAGGCTCCTTCTGTATCCCTTATGTATACAGAATTACACTAAACTAGCTGGACCCGGTCACGCGTTGCTGTGGCTCAGTCTGACGAAATGGAAAAGACAGAGATGAGGGAGGGACACGTTTCTAATATTTCTAATTGCGTAGTACTTGTGTATATACAATACTTTTTGGCGTTTCATTGTCTGTACAGATACAGAGACTGTCTGATTAGCCGACTCTGGAGCACACAAAGTATAATTGGCCATCTGAGGAATAATCAGTTTGCAGATCAAAACCGCACAATTCTAAAGATTGGCCCTGAACTTTTTCGATCGTGGTTGCAAATACCAATCGAATCGGGAGTTGTAGTCACCTAAATTGAGTTGGCATGTCAGTTGGGATCTGTGGAATGCAAGGAGTAAGGACATGTTCGTCTTTAAAATGTTCTGTCAATATAGTTGCTTCCACGACGTTGCTCATTGATGGTTGATAATGCGCAACATGATGGTCGGCACGCCGATTTTCGATTGCAGTGCATGTGGCGGCATCCCTGGAAGATCAAGTGAATTCAAAAATTCCGTTGAATAATTAACTGCCTCTTCTGTATCAACAGCAGTGTCGACGGACGTGCATGTGAATGCCTCGCTTTGAATCCTAGACTGAATAATATGGTTAAGATGGTCCACTTCTTTGTTCTTGGCCGCAAGAATAGCTCGTTCGCTCAGTCGACCATGGTTGGTATAGTTGGTCTGATTATTTAAAAACACCCGTACAATCAGTTCTCCTTCTGAAGACACTAGATTGCCGCAGGAAAGAGATAGTGAAGTATGTCCTGAAATGGGATCAACCTGTACCGGTCCGTTCCCAAGTACCAACAATTTGTGTGCGAATATCTCAGCTGATCGGTCGTTTTTCAGCTGGACACGCATGTTTGTAGTTAATTTCACCATCTGGACGTGGCGCCACAACAAAGAGTATTTCAGGTGGACATTTGTTTCGTCAGTTAGTGCTGATCGAGTAATTACAGGCACTGTTTGCCTGCAGTCTCCTACAAGCAGTAACAATGCATCTCCAAGTGGGCTGGTGTTCCCGCACAAATCTTGCAGTGTTTGATCACGGGCCTCGAGCGCTTTTTCGTGCGCTATTGTACATTCATCCCAAACAATAAGTTTGCATTTCTGCAGCACTTTTATCATGCCGGATGCCTTGGAAATGTTGCGCGTAGGAGTTTCCATGAATTGCACGTTCAACGGCAAATTCAAAGCTGAATGAATAGTTCTTCCGCCGGGTGGCAAGGTTGCAACTATTCCGAAGAACGCCAAAGCTATGTCATTTTTGGATCGAATTGCTGTCAGAATCAAGCTTATTAGGAATGTTTCACCAGTACCACCTGGCGCATTTAAGAAGAAGATTCGTCCAACCCCGTTATTGACAGGTCGCATTATTTGATCGTAAATGCCAATTTGCCCCAGTGTTAGCTTATGAATGCTTGATTGTAGGTGCGGCAGAGGATCAGCCGTGTTGCAGTTTTGCTCACGGCGCACGTCCACATCTAACGAAACAACAGATCGGTTTTGTGATGGCTTTCCCAGTTGATTGAGAGCTTTGTTCGTGATTTGTACGGACACATCCTCAATCACCATTAACGCACCGTTGTTGATTTCTGCTATGGAATCAACATTTGAATTTTCCCTGCGTAGTCGACGGATGATATATTTAGCCATGTGTAACCAATTGGCCGAGACCGGAAAAGGAGGGGCTGATGTTAACTGCATCCAGTCAAGCCCGAGAATCTCAGAGAAACGGTGACAGCCTCATTATGTAGGCTGTGGGACAAGTTCAAGTGAAGCCAAAGAGTAGCGTATTTTTTTGCCCCAGGGGTGATTTGCCCTGACGGCCTGCATTACATCGGCCCAGAGGGGGAGGGGCATGTTCAAGTATTTGTAGGGGGTGAGTGCGACCGTTGGGACGCGTGTTTTTGAGCGGATGTCGGACAAATAGGCTCGGGGCGCACGTGCGTCCGAGTGAATGCCGGTCAAGTGGCCACAGGCTAGCGCGTCAGCAGATGACGTTGTTATGCCGGAAAAACACGTTTTTCGCCCATTATAGGCGTGCCATCCACATAATCATAAAAATAAGCATTAAAAACCCGGCTCTATGCGCAGACAGGGTTGTATCAAAATTTCAGCGCAACCGGTGCAGTGCTTTTGGAAATTACCTATTACACACAGAAAATCCTTTCATTTTTATATGTACAGATATGCCAGATATAGAATCGTCCGCCTACCCATGAGATCCTAGTTCAAAACACTGCTTATATAAACTGATTGGCTTCCACCGAAAATGCGCAAGAGATCCTATTTCTTCTAAGTTTACCCTTAGTATACCTAGAATTTCCCCTTCATGATAATTGGAGATGAGACAAATAATCCTACTGAATCCGCCTCAGATGTGGGGTTGTAGCCTCTGCAAACTTAGCACCCCTTAATGGCTTCAGTGAAGGCACTAAGATTTCTTCTCCTTCTGCCTCTTTCTCTCTCTGTCTCTCTCTTTTAGAGGGTGTTTTCGAAGTTTCAGTGGACCAAACTTTGGTTCGGCCGAATCCCAATTGCTGCCCGCAGGGGACATGTTCATGAATATTTAGTAACGCTAAATGTTCGGAAGCTACTCGAAATTGGGCAAAAAACCGGCTCACGCTGCGTAACGCGGGGCATACAATATGCTTTGCCGAAGCCAAACTTACTAATGAAAAGGTAAAAACATAAAAGACGACCGACAACTCGACTACCTGTACACGGGTCGCTTATTCCCATGCAACTCCACTACTTGTTGAGATGTATCCCAATTTGACGATGAGGTCCAGTTAACCAAGAAAATACAACTTGCTTGATTTGCGTTGATTTTACAGATACACCCCCGCATTCAACTGGAGAACACGCACTGCGTATATATGCACGATTCATACTGCCATTTAACTTTATGGGCTCCTGGCTTTCCCCAAGCTTCTAAAGTTACTTGAGCATTTTATTACGTTATCTGCTGCAGCTTTTGCGCTCTGTTCGTCAGATTACACCTATCTTCACTGTTGTGCTCCTGTGTGAACATTATCTCAGATTATCACACAGCTGGCTAAATGACTCCTAAGCGTTCGTAATAGAACTAATTTGTCGTTTGATTAGGGCTGCAAAAACATTAAGTTTGCGGGAAGGCACTGAACTGTTCGTACAAATATAGAGAGCAACTAGATTTTCTCATGAGAATGACTTTGTTTTAACAGGTGACTGGTAGACCGTAGGTGTGATTGACGTTTGATTTCTACGCTTAGTCATCTCAGGTGATTGCAGTAGAGACGATGGCAACGTCCAAGGTGTTAGTCTTATCGCTTATTTGGTCAGTTTTTTGCTTTTAGTGATGACAAGGTACCGTCGGGGCCAGAGAAGAAGAAGAGACCGAATCGTCTGATTGTTGACGAGGGTACAAATGACGACAACTCCATTGTTGGCCTTTCACAGGTAACCCGTCCACTGTTTCTTGTATTTTAAGGCCAAAATGGACGAGTTAAAACTCTTCCGTGGAGACACTGTCATTATCAAAGGAAAAAGACGGAAGGACACTGTGTGCGTTGCGCTTGTGGACGACAATTGCCCTGATGAACGTATTCGCATGAACCGATGCGTTCGAAATAATCTTCGTGTCAGGTTGGGTGATGTGGTTTCCGTACAAGGTTTTCCGGACATTAAGTACGGAAAACGTATTCATGTGCTGCCCATTGATGATACCGTTGTCGGACTGACGGGGTAGGCTACTCCTTTAATCTTGACTCCCATTAGTGGCCTGTTCGAAGTTTACTTAAAGCCATACTTCCTGGAAGCGTACAGGCCCATTCGAAAAGACGATGTTTTCATCGTCCGTGCTGCTCATCGTCCTGTCGAATTCAAAGTTATTGAGACGGACCCCTCACCCTATTGCATTGTTGCACCAGACACAGTCATACACACAGATGGAGAACCTGTGAAGCGTGAAGTAAGTGCGTTTCTTCAATTCTTGATGCCATCGTTTAGGAGGAGGAAGAGAAATTGAGCGAAATCGGTTATGATGATATTGGTGGTTGCAGAAAACAGCTGGCCCAAATAAAGGAAATGGTCGAATTGCCACTAAGGCACCCGCAACTGTTCAAAGCTATCGGGGTGAAGCCACCCAGAGGAATTCTTCTATATGGACCACCCGGCACTGGGAAAACCCTTATCGCACGTGCGGTGGCAAATGAGAGTGGGAGTTTCTTCTTCCTAATTAATGGTCCGGAAATAATGTCCAAACTTGCTGGCGAGTCAGAGTCAAACCTCCGCAAAGCCTTCGAGGAAGCTGAAAAGAACTCTCCTGCAATAATTTTCATCGACGAACTAGACGCCATAGCCCCTAAACGCGAGAAAACACATGGTGAAGTTGAGAGGCGAATTGTGTCTCAGTTGCTGACACTTATGGATGGTCTTAAACAGAGAAGCCATGTCATAGTCATGGCCGCTACAAATCGCCCTAACAGTGTGGACCCAGCTTTGCGTCGTTTCGGCAGATTTGATCGTGAAATTGAGATCGGAATTCCTGACAGCATTGGTCGTCTTGAAATCCTCCGTATTCACACAAAAAATATGAAATTAGCTCCTGACGTCGACCTTGAGCAGATTGCCAATGAGGCTCACGGCCACGTCGGCGCAGATCTAGCATCTCTCTGCTCTGAAGCTGCCTTGCAACAAATTCGCAACAAGATGGATCTGATCGACCTGGAGGAGGACGCGATCGATGCGGAGGTCCTTGACTCACTTGCCGTTACTATGGATGATTTCCGCTGGGCCCTGGGCAAGAGTAACCCATCCGCTCTTCGCGAGACCACCGTAGAAGTGCCGAACGTTACCTGGGAAGATATTGGTGGCTTAGAGAATGTGAAGCATGAGCTCCAAGAAATGGTCCAGTATCCTGTGGAACACCCAGATAAATTTTTGAAGTTTGGTATGACACCCAGCAAGGGTGTGTTGTTCTACGGGCCTCCTGGCTGCGGGAAAACCCTTCTGGCCAAAGCCATTGCCAACGAATGTCAGGCCAATTTTATCAGTATTAAGGGTCCGGAACTCCTTACCATGTGGTTTGGTGAATCCGAGGCCAATGTGCGCGACATATTCGATAAAGCGAGACAAGCGGCCCCATGCGTACTGTTTTTCGATGAACTGGACTCCATTGCAAAGGTAAACAGCATTATTTTTTTTAAACGAACGCCTCGTGTTTTGTCGTTACCTAATGCAGATTACCTGAGTAGTAACCATTGTCTGTCCAGCTTTCTTGTCTAGAAAATAGCCGTCCGAAATATCCATAACTTCTTCCGTTGTTTCTTGTTGTTAGTGCGTTGTCTTTTTAAGCTCTCTTTGCTTATGAATAATCGGGACAGTCTTCATGCATTTGAAAGTCGTTTTGCCAGCTTTATGTTTTAGATGACAAAAATAATACAAGTGAAATAAACCACCGCTTCATCTGCGTTCGTAGTGTTACGTTTGTATTTAAAAGAACCTTTAGTCTGTAACTGCAACTACAGTTTTCTCATCAAAATAGGTGCCACGCTCATTACTCTTCATATCGGATAACTGTGCTGCATCTTCCCCGTACTAATATGCATTCCTATTGATACATTATAAATGCTGAATGTGTAGTGTTTAGGACGTAGTGAGGACTTAGTCCAGGTACCATGGTAAAGACCTACTTAATGGGGCTTGTAGCTCCCCTTCGGGAACTTGAAGCGTAGGCTCTTAGTCGTGTAATGTGTCAACCAGGCTACTGGCTGGGTGTTTGGATTCTCATTGAGTATTATCGAAGGAGTCGATAATGGAAGAGGCCGTTTGTGACCTGCTTGCAGTCGGCTACACTCAAACTCCCCTGTAAGTCAACTCCAGACCAGAATTCAGATTCACCTGGCCATTAGCCCTGGTGCTTTACCACTTGACTTACGTTTTCGGGTACTGTCGGCTGTGATGGGGAATATTCAACGTCTCGTTGAGATAGGTGAGTGTGGCTCGATCATGTGACGGAATACAGCCGTCCCGTCTTGCCGCGCGCTTCTAGCCTAAAGCCGTCGCATGAAGAAAGGCAGTCAGTACTCATGAGATACAACTAACTCGTGCTTGAGGCGAGACCACAGCGAAACAAAGTGGCAGTATTCCGTCCTGGTTTGTCAGCGTCACACCCAGGCTTGTTGTGGCACTGTTTGGCAATACTCTAAGTATGAATCGTAGGAGTATTGACGTGTACGCCTTATCGGTAGTTATTTTTCAACCGTGTGACCATGAAACTACTGCACCTTCATAAAATTTGTCAGTTGCCCATTTGTTCATTCTCGATGACCGTTTACAATGTTCATTGATTAGGCTCGTGGCGGCAGTGTCGGTGATGCCGGCGGAGCAGCCGACCGTGTTATTAACCAACTGCTGACGGAGATGGATGGAATGTCTTCGAAAAAGAATGTATTTATAATTGGCGCAACAAATCGACCTGACATAATTGACGGGGCGATCCTCAGACCAGGCCGCCTGGATCAACTCATATACATACCACTGCCTGATGAAAAATCAAGAGTATCGATTTTCAAGGCCAATCTTCGAAAGTCGCCCATTGCGAAGGTACCTGAGAGCTATGTTTCTGCATGTTTAATAACCAGTTAGTCATGTTATTGATGTTAAAATAGTTTGGGTTGTAAAAACAGACTTCGTTGCATATGTCCACCTGCTCTTAAGTAACCTAGGCTTTACTTTCCGCTTTCGTCTTAGGATGTAGATATCAATTTCTTGGCTAAGTCGACACCCGGATTCTCGGGTGCTGACTTGACAGAAATTTGCCAACGTGCTTGCAAGCAAGCCATACGTGAGTCCATTGAAGCTGAAATACGAGCAGAACGCGAAAGACAGCGCAACCCCGCAGCCATGGTAAGGCCGACTTACTCCTTAACTTACCCAACAGGAGGACGACAGTGATCCAGTGCCTGAGATAACTCGGAAGCACTTTGAAGAAGCGATGCGATTTGCACGTCGTTCAGTGACTGACAACGACATTAGGAAGTACGAAATGTTTGCACAGACTCTTCAACAGTCGCGCGGTATGGGTGGAAACTTCAGGTTTGTCTTAACTGATTTTCGTTATTTTTACTCCACGTAAAATAAAGTCTTCGCTGGCTCTAGTAGATCACATCCACTGCCACTGTAACTCGACCCAAGATACGTCCTCCTATTTCAGATTCCCAACCGAAAGTGGTGGACCTGCCGGTGGTGCACCACCCGGTGGTGCGCCCCGCAATCCTTACAACGACGGGGGTGCTGATGAAGATTTGTACTCTTAATTCTTTAAAGTAGCCCGTTTTTGCGGGAATTGACATCTGTTGCATTGTTTCCTCGCCATCATTTCTTTCTAATCTCTGTCCCTGGTCCCTACATTCTGACTGAACTTATATTGTATGTTTGGGATTAAATTCTTCACTGATCGTCAGTATCTATATGCTTTTTATTTTTGCAAAATGGTCAACCGATAAGTCCTGACATTTGTCCTTCACACCCATGAAATTTGTGAGAAATTTGCTAGATCTGTGGTAGAAGTTGACAAGGAGTTCTTTGGTTGGATTGTCTTCCGCACCGGAAGCTAACTTTCGTGGTTATGCCGCAGACAAGTGTTAAGATCGGTCTCTTAACTATGAACAGTCTTGCTACATCGGGTACTGGCCAGCGAAATACGGTGTCTTCCGCTTACAGCCACAAGTAATGGCTGATGCGCTCTTTTCGGGGTAGCACCCCGATCTTAATGCATGCGTAAGTGCTGAAGTTGCCTACTATGGTCTATTACAAGTCCGTAGTGACCGATCATCCCTCTATCTGTATTTAAAAATTTGAAGGTATTCCGCCTATGCCTTGCCCGTGCATGCCTATGCGCGACTAGGGGAGGCAATCCTGACGCCACTGGAAAGTAGTTAAGTGGTTTTGCCGGTCTGGGTCACGGTGACCCGTCTTCATTACTTGGCCGTTGCACGCTGGAATGTGCCACTACCAACAAGTCGGGTGGGATGATTTATCTATCATTCACTCCACTAACTAGTTTCTGATATAATGAAGTTGGAAATATTCCGACGGACAGTCATTCTGCAGGGCCTGGTAGGGTCTGTAAGGTACAATCCTCGGGGTCGTGCACGCCGGTTCGTCACTTGACGACGCCCGCAACTGCCTGGGGAGTCAGCTAATGCGGCGTAGGCCTTTCCGCATGACGACTGAGTTCTATATGCCTAAAACGTCCATAGACCCTTGTGAAGTCTTGCACTACGCTCTCTTGGCCATCTGATGCGTAGGCGTCATGTTCACGGACATTCTGTCAATATGAGCTTCCATTGGCACAGCGTGCGAATATCTACATACCCACTACAGGCCGGTGGTACTTTGCGAATGGTTCCTCGAGGAAGACGGTCGTCTCGGAGTTCTTCTGTGATATCCGGCATATCACGTAAACGCTGATGCTCTTGGGTCGGCGGCCAGCCTTCGATACCTGAGATCGGGCTTTCCGCCGAACGAACAAAGGGTAGAGTCGACCATATGTCCGGCCTGACATGTGCGGAACCTCCGCGATTGCTCTAAATCACCCCGAAGACTAGGCTGCAAGTGCACGAGGCCTCGGTCAGGGTATTCCTCCCGTGTGGATTTTAGGAATGGTTCCTGCTCTCAGACGATACCGCTCGTCTGTATGCTGTAAATGGGGACTGTGCTCCGCTCCCCGAGTTTGCCTTCAGTCGCGTCTGTTGAATGACTACAGTTGTTCGGACAGCCAGTTAACAGCCCGCTTGTTCATACAACAAATATACGAGATCTAGGTGTTCACCAGGGTGTCTTTTTTTTAATGTCGGTTCCCTATCGACTTGGGCTCTCACTGAACCAACGAGAGTAACCCAGGATGCTTGTCAGATAGCCTCCTAGACACCACAACAGATGATTTGACTGGGCTGACCTTATGTATTGTTTGGCCGTCTGCTCCACGTGGAAGGGACATCCGTCAAACTGGCATGGCTGTCGGGTGGGGCCGGTCTATTTCGTGACCTAGGACCAGTACTGGTGCCCGCAGATGATAGACTAGTGGCGAGTAATTAACAATCGAGCGGGATACATGGACAAGGGTGTGGGAGTCTGCATTGGTCGCCAGCCCGTTTCCTTCACTAGCTAGTCTTAAAGGGCCAAAAATTGGGATTCCGAGGTCCATTTGCGGCAAACCGGGATCCGATGGGTCAAAGTAGCAGATCGGTGACGGCACACCTGCGTCCCCAACCATTCTTCCTCATACTTGCCTGACCGCGGCGAAACGATGGTGTGTCTGAGCTGCTTTGAACGACTGTCCCTTTTGTCTTGAAGGTATACCTTGGATGTTTACTTCGTCCGCCTGTTGTCATCGCCGGTGACTTGGCTGGCTTATACCGATGCAAACTTCCTAATTTGTGTACCATAAGTGTACTCCGCGCCCATACAACTAATGAACAGGGGGCATGGTAAACCACACCCCGTGTGTGTGTGACTATCCTGTTAGCTAGGATTTTCTGGTTGGGCTTGCCCCTAAGACATCCTTGCACTCATGTGACTCCTACCTTTCGGGAATCGGATTCGGGGTCCAACAATCTGTCGGCTCCTAGGATCATTTCCGCTTTACCCTGATTTTGGGTTTCTCGGCCTAGGCGACTAGGAACAGACCAATCTCAACGCTTTTCAAATTTGTGTCCAGAAATCTCATAGACTACTGACAGCACACGCTATCATTAATTAAGCTTATAAGTGGCGTTTGTATGCACTCATGGTAGCCTACCCATATTTCTCAGTTCATTGCAGAGGAAAAACGAACTCCATAAACTCGCTCGTATATTTCACGTGTGCGTACTTTCCGGATAAAATACAGGAGTCTCAACTCGCCTCATTGTCATACAGTCTTCCAGTCCCCGGGCAAAGTTATAAGTACAGTGCATTCGGGAGCCTTTCGAACACGGTCAGATGTAGCTTTTCGATGATGTAGAATTTGACGAGAGGCTTTAATATAGTTAGAAAGGTTTGCTTCCCCCGACGGATATTTTCCTAGCTTTGGCAACCAAGACCGTCAAAACTTAGAGACCATACACGTCGCCGTGACTGTTTCTGTTAGCAGAGGTTCCTGAACGTACTACCCAACGTACTTCTGCTAGAAAAGCCAGTTGCGAGTCTAAGACAGTACTGGTTTCATTTTCCATGTCGGATGGCTAGATCACCTCAAACTGGCGTGATCGGAAGATAAAAGGGCTGAACGACTGTACCTTCAGAACCTCTGCAGCCAATGGTTATCCCAGACATTTCATCGAGGGAAGCAGGCGCCGAGCGCACAGATAACGGCCGAATGAGCGTAAATTCGAGGTCAGGTGGGCCATTTCCTTCGTTAAAGAGGTCTCCAAGGCAGTCACTCGACTGTTACAACCCGCCAGAGAAGACATAGCCCATCGGCCCCAGGCAACAATGCGGTGCCGTCTGACGCAACCTACGGACACACTGCCAGCCGCTGAAACCTCAGGAATTGTCTACAGGAGGCTAAACCCAAACTCCGAACTAGCAACGCACGTTGGAGAAAGTGGGCATACTTTCGATGTCCAGAGAGTTACCATCTTGGGCCGGGGCAACATGAAAGCAGAACGGCCAATACTCGAGGCTTGGTACTCCGATGCCAACTCCACCAACAGGCATCTGGACCTTTCTTCAGCCTACAAAGTCCTACGTCCTCACGTCCGTAGAGCTCAGGACCTAGTAACTAAACTGGACTTAAAAAGGCCATACATAGACAGCCCGACGGCGAGTTTTCTCTGCAAGGAAGAAGAACCACCCGACAAAGGTTCAATCACCTCCCCCCGACGAAGCGGTGACTCACAAAGCATACAGATAAAAGGCCCACCAACCATCCCCCGAGAGGCCGAGGCAGCGAGAGAAGAGAAAAATCTATCCGCATGAGGCCGGCCAATGCAGCATGCTATTTATAATTTCTGGCCAATTAAGTGCGTGTTACGCTCTGACAATAGAGACCTGGCCAAGCTCTTCGAAACGTCAGCACCTGAACAAGCCCGTCCCGGTGAGCCCATATTTTTTCCCCAAAACTCTACCTTGTTGGCGTTCTAACACCTCTTCCTCTCTTTGAGGAGATTTTGCCAGTGCTCTGGCTTAGCATTCTGCGGAGTTTCGTTCTTGCTGACCGTAAATTACGGCTTCATGCGTGTACCCTCTATTACCAGATTGCGCCGTTTTTTTAGAGCAGTTCGCTTTTCCAAACCAGTTTTCAGACGGACCGTCTCGAACTAGCCTAGAAGGTGCCTCTCCTGATCGCCAACGTCGCCTTCGTCTTTTAAGCCCCTCGATGCTGCCCATCGTCTTGAAAAATTTCCTTTTGTGTGTAGTATGAATAATTCGATCGGAATTGGTTGTGCTTAACCCTCTCCGAACTTTGACGCTAGGCCACCTGTAATACATGATTAGTGGTTCTTACGAATGGGGCCTTTCAAGAGAGGAAAAGTAGAGTTCTAAATTATTTGAAAGGGACAGAATCGTATTTGCGCCGTATGCTTGTTCTAATGGGTGGAGAACGGTTGTGCAGCGGAGCGCACAACTGTTTCCAACCACTAATTCTACTGGCTTGTGCTCTGTTATCGTCGAGAGCTGCCCGTAAAATGAGAGTGGAATTATAGGTGGTGAATGCTCTTAGCTGTCATTTCATCTTTGTTTGCTCCGGCCTGACTGAAAATGCCAGAAGAATGAAGACTTCCCGTATTTACGCTAAAACCGCCAGCAGTGGCTGATCGAGGACTAAGACTCACTACGCCCTCTGTCTGCCATTCCGTGTCCAATGGGAATGCAACAGACCTAACACACAAATTCCTTTACACCTTCTCAAATCAGACCAGATGCCTACACTCACAGCATCTGGGAGAACAAGCGAATTTCTATTACAAATACCACTCTCCTCAGGTAAACTCGGTTGAAGTAGATTGTCCCTAATGTGACGGAGGTAACGACAACCTCCGAAATCACAACCGTCTGCTCAAGTCTGGATCATACACCACGACCATGTCACGCAATTGCGGCCTTTGTCTGATCGTGGGAAACGTGTCGTAGAAGCCAAAGCATCCGGCGAAAAACCGATCTTCTCGGTGGTCCTCAGTCTTTCACCAACATTTTCAGGTCAGTGCAAAGCCCTTTGGTGAGTGGTTACGACGACGGCAGCACAGGGTATGGGCGCCAATAAGTTAATCTGTAACAGTCCTCTGGTCTCTGGTCGGAAAATTCGTTCCACTCAGCCATGCGCAAGATAAAG